GTGCCCATCAGGGCGAAAACATCCCTTTTTCGGGGGTGGGGGTTGAAACAAATTTTTTTTACCAAATGGGGGTGGTAAGCTGTTCTTGAGGGTAAGAGTGACCTCTGTGTGAAATTTGGTTACCCAAATCGTATTAGTTACGGAATTATTAATGTTTTAAGTTTATTGCTGGGATTTATGGATAACTTCACACCAGTCCGATTTTTAACATTTTCAAAAGTATGTCTATTACCACTTAACTAAGAGACATGGAATTTTTGTCTCATTTTTACCAGAACAGGTATGGGTTGGCCTCTCACCCGGCGCCCGCTTGACGTTGAGTTTTGGGACAGACTGTATATAAGACCTAGACATGATAACAAGTATAGAAATAAGAATAAAGTTTATGATTCGAAGTTTGTAGCAAATTACGTTTTGGAAAATGGCAAGCAAAGACATGCCAAATGAAACTACGAATAGAATAATAGAAAAAGAGGTATCACACGAGATAATTGAAGAAGATTAACCCAATGTAGAAACTACTTCACTTGAAGAATCTGTAATACAGGAACCTGAGATGATAAACCATGAAAGAGTTAATACCACAGTAAATCACTTAAACGGCACAATGACAAAAAGAATTAGGAAAAAACCGGATAGATTTAGCGATTTTGTTTTATATAAATAAATGACTTAGGTTAGAGTAGATTTGTTTGACTAAATAATTTATTATTATGTATTCCTGTACATTTTAGGATTGGGGATGTAGTATAGATCACCACCATTACATGTAATGTTGTACATACAGTGTGTCCCAGGATAGATGTTACAAGAGGTATAATCACTTAAAAATTTTTGAATTTTATATTTGGGCTGAGGAATTAAGCCCTGCTTGGTGTGGAGAGAATTTTAAGTATATTTTCATATTTTGAAAATCAACTCGTCCCTGATAGTGAAGCGAAAACTATTTTGAGTTCAGGCAATGTAAGCTTTTATTCTTGATACGGCAAAATATCATTAAGAAAACTTGTTCAGAATGAGAAATTATGGCACTATACAAAATTTTAGAAAGATCTACCTACATTGATTAAACCACCATATTTTAGATTAGATCAGAGTGAAGAAAAAAAAACAATGAAAAATGCCATGAAAAAAGAAAATGACTTAAGTAGTCGCAAATATTGACAAATAAATTGTATTTTTCCTCAGTTTTAGTTCACATTTCAATTACTATACAATATTTATGTTATTTAAACTAAAATGTGGTGGTTCAACCAAAGTAGATAGATTCTTCTGCAATTTTGTGTAAGACCTTAATTTCTCATTTTGAACAGCTTTTCTTAATAAAACTTTTCCGTATCATGATCAAAAAGATTACTTTATCTAAACTAAAAATAGTTTTCGATTCATTGTCAAGGTCGCCTTTGTTTTCAAAATATGAAAATATTTTTAAAATTCTGTTCACACCAAGCAGGGGTTGAATTTCAAAAATTTTTAAGTTATTATACCTCTTGTAACATCTATCCTAGGACACACTGTATGTAAATGCGTACTTTAGAATAAATCAGTTAACAACTAGACGGCGTATGATTAACGCCCGAACCTCAAACACAAGAGATCACAATATAACACATGTCATCAATTTGTTTGCAAAAATCAATCGAAAAAGACTGTGCTCTGCGATACTTGTTGCCAAAAATGTCAAATGGAAGAAGACTGATTTTTTTGTTAACGCGTTTTTCATTTTTCACATTTTTGCAAAAATAAATGTTTAATGTTTTGTTGTTAATAAATGTTTAATGTTTTGTTATTTATAAATGTTCCAGGTCGCGTGATCCTATGAGACGCGCTCGCCGAAGGGTTAATTTATGTTTCTTTTAAAGAGGAGAGTACAGGATAAAAGGTTAGCAAATAGAATACGTGAAAACTTACCACGGGGCAATAATTAATGTTGAAATCGAGCGCTTTTTCGTATTAAACCTTCACACACCAAACGATTTAGGTTGAATTTCTTTAGGTTATGTCACATTGTTTTGATAAAAGCTGTCAGATTGTTTTTATGTCAGATTGAGGTTAAAAAGTTTTTAGGGAATTTCGGTGTTACCAACCGAATTATTTTGTAGACGTCTGATTTGAAAAATGGCTGCCGTAGTTGACAGCTCACAAGTATCAGAAAATTTTGAAAAACTCGCCTTAGAATCGACTAATAACCCGAAAGAAAACGGGAAAATTTGCGAAAATGATCCTTCTAAGTTCGGGTTACCTTTATTGGACGTTTACAAACTCGCTGTTGGATTTTATAGAGGTATTTATGTCGGCTTATAGGTTATGTTGAAACGTCAAAATTGTTGTCGGGGTTAATTTTTAATTAAAATTAATTAAATTTCTTTAGAAAAAGAAGGAAAAGCAGTACATTTTAGTTACGAAGATAAACTCCAATTAGTAGCGTTTACTCAACAAGTTTTACATGGACCTTACTCCGAGGCGATAGAAAAGCTTCCCCCATTGGGTGCTTTTGATGTTGTTGGAAAAGATAGACGCCTTGCCTGGCAAAAATTGGGTAATTTAAACCCCGACGAAGCCAGGGCGGGGTTTGTAGAATTACTCAGTAGAAAATGTCCGCTATTTTCGACATTTATCGAAGCTCATCGACGCGAAAAAAAGGAACAAGAAAGGTTGGCCATTGAAAATGAAAAAATGAATCTCCTTCAAAAGGAGGAGGTTCGGAAAAAAGAGGAAGAAGAGAAATTGGTACAAGAAAGGCTTGAAAAAGAGGAAGCAATTAAAAGACAAATTCAACAAGCGTTAAACGAGCAAACTTATGACCAATTTCGAAGGTATGCAGAGCAACATTATCCTGGGGATCCCGAAAAACAAGGGGCTTTAGTTAGACAGTTACAAGAGCAACATTACATTCAATATATGCAACAACTACAACAAGTTCAAGCTGAAGATTGCGTTAAAAAAGAAGAAAACAGAGTTGGAATTGAGGAAAATGTTGAATTATGTATAAATAAAACTGAAGATGTAGAAGAAGATGAAGAGATTAATGAAGATGGTCAAAATGAGTTAGTACCAGCAAGTATGTGGACGAGATCTAACATTGAAGAATTTAAAAAAGATGTAGCTCAAGCAGAAGGTGATAATGTGGTTCGAGTTGCTCATGGTGAAACTGTTACGGTTAGAGTTCCTACACACGAATCTGGTACAAGATTATTTTGGGAATTTGCAACTGACCATTATGATATAGGTAAAAAAATTAAAAATAAATCAATAACACTTTTTTAAATTTAATGTAAAAAATAGGTTTTGGAGTTTATTTTGAATATGGGACACCAACAACAAATTTAGTTTCTGTGCACATCTCAGAAAGTGAAGATGAAGACAGAGAAGATTTAGAAGATGAATATGATGATGAAACAATAGAAGCTGAAGATTTAGAATCTGGTTCTTTGACGGTAGGGGCAAGTGGTGGTATTTCAAGACCATTATTATCAGAAATAGTGCCAGTATATAGAAGAGACTGTCAAAATGAGGTTTACGCAGGATCACATCACTACCCTGGAAAAGGGGTTTATCTTTTAAAGTTTGATAATTCATATTCATTGTGGAGATCGAAAACCTTGTATTACAGGGTTTATTATACACAGTGAATGTTATTGGGGAAATTCTAAAAAGGAAAAATTATGTAGTTATTTCAATTTTTTGCTACTTTTCTACGTTGATTGTCGAAAGTTCTAGTCGATTAAGACTTTTTAAAAGGTTAAAATTATTAAGTTATTTCAAAATTTTTTTCTCTATTTTGTGTGGTACAAAGAAAAATGAAATTTAATGTTTGGTAGCGTTTATAGTAAGAAATAAGTGTGAATTGAATTTTTAGTGTGTCCCCATTGTGTTTTCTTGTATAATTTTATTTTATTTTTGAGTATTATAAATACGAAAAAAAAACTGTGGTACTAAAAGTAAGTTAAAAAGAATGTTTGTGCAATTTTTATGTTATAATTGCGTTTAATAAAGATATGTATATCTATTCCATATGAATCAAAATAAAGTTTTTAATATGATCTTCAAATTTAGAATAAAGCCATCGGTTAAAACAAATTATCAGGGACAATCTTAATAATACGCCGTTTAGTTGTTAACTCTTTTATTAGTTTATTAGAGAAGCTCTTGCGCACAGACACTACACATGTATGTTTGGTAGCCTATACTACATCCCCCTTTTTAAATGAAATGCATCATTTCAAGGTCCGTTGAGTAAACATACTGTATAAGGTTATCTAACTCTCTACGAACGCTGTTGTTATGAACGTATCCCCTCCGCAAAGGTCTTGTTGTGACGTCATTGGAAGAATTGTCATTTCTGTTTTCATTTATATACATAAACCAACAAAAACTCTTTATTTCTTGAGTTTAATAACACTTGTTTAATTTTTAAATAATTATTAACATAAATATTATTATTATATTATATTAAATTTATATTATATCATATTATGTTATATTTTTCCTCCAATGACGTCACGTTTCCCACCTCACCCCGCCAACGTCAAGTTGTTCGAGTTGGATAACCTTATAACTAATACTCAACGCACCTTGGCATCATTTATTTAATTTAGTTACATATAATTTACACTGTGTTAATTAATTATCGTACTCGTATTTGTATTGCAATACGCGATATTGGTTGCATACTTACAATAATGATGTCGCACTATGGGGCAGGGAATCCTATTTCCAGAAAAAAAAATTTGTCCTGCGTTTCTTTAGTTACTTTTATAGAGTGTCTGTGAACAACCTATACAATGTCCTATTACAAATTCCTGAGGTCAAAATAGGTCGATTTAACAAAACATATCCCAGTAATCCGAAATCCAACCCATTGCTAGTTACAACTCTTTATATATAATTATTTTCAAAGAGAGAATATAAGAGAAACGGCTTGAATTACTATGTTCAAAATTTGCGAATGTCTCTTATACAGGTGTTTTTTACATAACTAGGCTTTTTCTCTTACAATTATTTAATATGGATATTAATTGTTTTTTTTTTCATCACATTCTTGAAAAGATTGATCCATCTAAAAATTTTCATCACCTACTTTTGCTAAAATGTCGTATCTAATAATCAGAGCCCGGACAGTTTAGGAAAGTAATCCTAAAACGCCTCCCACTCCAGTCTCAATATTCAATGAATTAAATAGGGCTGGGCGATACCTCAAATAAGGTATCGAGTATCGATACCTTCGCGGTATCGATACTATTCAAAGTATCGAAAGTATCGAATTATTGGAAATAATATTCTAATAAACAAAAACATCAAAAATATTAAAAACAAAACAATTTATTGTTTTTATTATACTTATATAATTAATTATTATTTATTTATACTTAATTATTTTGGAACAAGTTTTTTATTCATTGCCAAAAAAATTAATTGCTCGGCATGCTCCGCAGTCAAGGAAGCGCGAGCGTCCGTAATAACATTTCCACCGCAACTAAAAACACGTTCGGATGCTGTGCTTGTGCCTTGACCGGTAAGAAATTTTTTGGCAAATTGTGCTACAACTGGAAAAATATTTTGATGTATTTTCCACCAAACTAGGGGATTTTCTGAAAAATCTTGTATTTCCATAGACTTATATTTTCGCAATTCCGATTGTAACTTTTCCTCTTTCGATAAAGCTTTCATTGGATTTCCGGTACATGATGTTGTAGATGACAGTAAAGCTGCTATACCGCTCAAATTTTCCTTCCGTTGATTTTTTTGATGTTTAATTATGTTTTCAACTTGTACTTCACCTAAGTTCATTTCCAAATAATTTTCAATTGTGGTGATCTCTTCTACATTAAAGTACATTACTTTAAACCTAGGGTCCAAGTAAGTGCATATTTTCAAAATTTTGTTAACATTTTCGTCATCATATTTGCTATTTATATAGGACAAAATAGTTGATTCAATTTCTGTAATAATTATATTTTTCTCTTCTGTTATATTATTGTCATTTTCTGATTTAGAAACTGTATCAGAATTTATTTTTTTCAGTAAAGGTATTATTACACTTGCAGTTACATATGTTTCTCCAGCCATATGACTTGAAAATTCTTCATATTTAGCTATAGTTTCAATTAAAACCTCAAGCAAATCGATGTCACGGAAATCTATGCTGAAGTCCCTATACTTGTTTTTGTGGTTCTCCGTAAGTAAGGTATTTATTGCATGATAATTTGAATGTATGCATTTGATTAAATTAAGCAATGACCACCAACGTGTCACTGAATTTTTTTTACCGGTAATTGCAGTCTGGTTTGAATTTTCTTAAATTTATCAGTTAATATGTAACTATGATTTATTGAATTTTAAATAGCTTTAGACTTTGTAATAATTTGCTCAAACTTAGGTAATTCGAATACTTTAGACACAGCATTATTTATGATGTGGCCAAAACAACCGATACGATTCCACTTCAATAATTTCATGGCCGACATGATGTTGGTACCATTGTCTGTGGTACATATTGAAATTTTATCTGACTTTATACCCCATATATCTGTAGCTTGTTGTAGGTAAGTTTGTAGATTCTCGCCAGTGTGGCTTTCACATAGTTTTTTACACTCTAATGTCATGCTTTCAAACACCCATTTCTCATTAATTATATGAGCAGTTAACGCTATGTATGGTTCCATCGCTAAAGATGTCCAACAATCTGTTGTTAGTGACACAAAATGATCTTTTATTTTATTTTGTATTATTTTACGTGTTTTCTCGTATATACCCGGAATATTGACATTCGAAATAGTTTTCCGACTAGGCATAATATAATTCGGTTGTAAAGTATGTATAAAATGTTTGAAGCCTTCTTTCTCAACAATAGAATAAGGCATCATCTCTGTCGCAATAAAATTGCATAAGGCGGTCGTAATTTTTTGTTCGGTTCTTTTAGGTAATTGTTTTATTACAAATTCCTCTAAAGTCGAATTTCCAGTGTTACCTCTAGAACTTGATGGTATTATAGTGCCAGTATTGGGTTCGTTATTTTTTGTTGATAGATTCAATGATTGCGAAGAAAGCACGCTAGATAGAGAGGATGTTTCTTCGATTGACATTTCTGAACTGAAAAAGCAATAAATGAAGCTG